TTGAACATTCTTTGGCATTGCCTTTCTTTGGAATTGGAATGTAAACTGACCTTTTCCAATCCTGTGGCCACTGTTGAGTTTTCCAAATTTGCTGGCAAATTGAGTGTAGCACTTTTACTGCATCGTCTTTTAAGATTTTGAATAGCTCAGCTGGAATACTGTCACCTCCACTAGCTTTGTTGTTGCTCAGATTTCCTAACGCCCATTTCACTTCACATTCTAGGATGTCTGGCTCGAGATCAGTGACCACCCCATTGTGGTTATCTGGGATGTTAAGCTCGTTCTTGTATAGTTCTTCTGTGTAGTTTTGCCACCTCTTCTTAATCTCTTCTGCCTCTGTTAGGTCCCTGCCATTTTGGTCCTTTATCATGCGCATCTTTGCATGAAACGTTCCCTTCATATCGCCAGTTTTCTTGAAGAGATGGGGACTGCATCCAAGAAATTAAAAGACGCTTGCTCCAGGGGAGGAAAGCTATGGCAAATCTAGACAGCATACTAAAAATCAGAGACATCGCCCTGCCAACAAAAGTGCGTATAGTCAAGGCCATGGGTTTCCCAGTTGCAATGTATGGATGTGAAAGTTGGACCATAAGAAAGGCTGAGCAACAAAGAATTGAGGCCTTTGAACTATGGTGCTGGAGAAGACTCCTGCAAGTCCCTTGGACTGCAAGGCGTTCAAACCGGTCAGCCCTAGAAGAGATCAACCCTGACTGCTCTTTAGAAGGCCAGATCCTGAAGTTGAAACTCAAATACTTTGGCCACCTAATGAGAAGGAAGGACTCACTGGAGTAGAGCCTAATGCTGGGAAAGATTGAGGGCAATAGAAGAACAGGATGACAGAGAATGAGGTAGCTTGATGGAGTCACTGAAGCAGTAGGAGTGAGCTTAAATGGACTCCAGAAGATGGTAGAGGACAGGAAGACCTGGAGGAACATTGTCCATGGGGTTGCAATGGGTCGGAGACAACTTCGCAACTAACAACAACAACAAAAATCCAAAGCATGATTCAGCTTTCTCATTTCTAAGGCAATGTGTAAGGGTAGATGCTTTTAAATTGTTTGTTTTAAAAATCTGACTCTATTGCTGACGTCTTTTGCCTGTTTATTTGAGAATATAGATAATATAGAATATAGATAATATAGAATATAGATAAACCCAAGGTCATTTTTAGTATATATAAGATTGTAAGAAATGCAGTTATTTAATTAGAATTTAAATGTGCATATCTCGTTTGAAGATTAGAAATAAGATTAAGGTATTTATTAACAAGATGATGCAAACTGTCCTGAAATTATATTTATTTTTCAGTTGTGGTTGGATAGATTCCTCTTTTAAATATGCTGACCTGTGTGGACTATGCAATAAAATGGGTTGTATATAGTTACCAAACAATGATCCACATTTTGTTTTGACAAAATACCAACTCCAGATTAGATTGGTGCGTTCTGTTCTGATTCTAGATGAAAATGAAGGCCATATGATGCTCTACTACTTCATGATATAAGCATATAGATATCTATTAATTTTATATTGGCTAGTGGTTTTTTTATTCCTCTATTCAAGGTCTTGTGCTTTAGCAATATTTGGTGTTTTGGTTACTTCCTGTCTAGTAAGACTTTGCACCAGTGCTTTTTTTGTAAAAAAAAAAAAAAAAAAAAAGGTGCCGGAATTCACACACGTCATACAACCTGCCTTGCCTACCCTATAAGGTTCCATCCAAAAAAGGTGCCGGAACTCCGTTCTGGGCGTTCTATGACAAAAAAAGCCCTGCTTTGCACTAAGACAATATTATTTTATTAATTAAAAATAATAAAAAACATTTAGAAATCAAAATGTTTGAGTTTAGGTTTCTTTATAGAAGAAACATTAGTACAACAGCAACTGGCAAAACACACTGTATCTTTATGAAAAATTCTGGTGCTCAATTTTCCTTTGGTCTTTTGAAGTATGAGGTTATAAATTAAGCAATAGTAACTATTGAAATTGGTCAAATGTCAAAATGTGGCAGCCTGTTTTTTATTTGGGAAAAGCTGCTTGAAATTAATAATTGCATTAAATAAATAGACTAGTTCTTCTGTACCTAATAAGTGAGAGCAAGCCACACTGAATTCTGTGCCATTTACCTCTGAGTAAATGTATAAAATTTGCACATTATTTTCAACTAGAATTACGGTATATAATGTTGATTAAACATTAAGCACATTTTTCTCATGTTTTTAACAATGTTTTTACAGGACAAACATTGGCTTATCAGACAAGCAAAGACTCCAATGACTAATTCATCAGTACAATTTCTAGATGATGCTTTTAGGAAAAGGTAGGAAACAAATTTTATAGGAATTTGTTTTTGCAAAATCGAAGAAAACCTTGTATGAAAATGCATACTTCAATTTGTTGCTTTGATATAGAAATTAGCTTTAGAAAGTATAAAGCTAATAGTACTAGCAATCTGTCATCCACCCTAACTTTACAAAAGTTCTCCAAATTATTATAATCTCAACATGTCTGTTGAACTAGAGAGCAGCTGCAAGGGGGAAAATAGAACCTACAATATATGTACTACTAAAACTCTTGTGTCTTTAATCTTTACCCAGGTGAAATGGTACATCACAGGGCAACAATTTTTGAGCCAAGGTACCTCAAATAAGATAACATACAGAATGTATTCAGAAATTCAGAATACATGACTCCCATGGAATTGATATTTGGCAAATGTTATAAAACATTTTATGACAATTGACCTATTAATTCAACTTGATTGCTGTGAACTAACCTTCTGCAATTTGGTTCCCTTGTAGTTTGGGAAGTCCAGAAATTTTAGAAAGTATTAGACTGAAATCAGAATAAAGTAACTTGAAATTAGCCAGATATTCAATTCAAGCATTATGCCTAAACTGAAATTCCTGTGTTCTCAAAGTCAGAAATGTAAACTTAACTTATTTACAAATACTGTTTTCAGATTATATCTAATTAATGGATTAACATTTCTAACTGGAGATCCTGGATTAAAAAAAAAATTCAATTATTTCAATGATTTGCTTACTTCCATTGATGGAAGAACTAAATAGTGAAATGTGGCAGCATGTGCTAGTGTGTTGCTCTTTAGCAATAAATAAAAATTTCTTTTTTTTTAATTGAAAATTTTTAAAAGTTTTGCAATATATCTCCCCTCCTCCCTGAAACCCACCCTTCCCTCCCCCCCTCCCTCCCCCCCCGACTTCCCAGAGCCAATCACAGGGTTAACAATACAATAAGTATACTCTATCTTACATTATATCACTATTAAGTTAACAATTCTATAACATCCTTTAACTCTCTTCTAAACAAACATATTAAACACTATAATTATAACATCTTATTACTATTTAAAAAAAACCTACATTGACAATCTAAAATTTACTCAAAAACCAAATAAAACTTTTTGGTTCCATATTTATTCTCAATATAATCTATCCAACTTCTCCAAACCAAAATATATCTTTCTTGTGAGTAATCCTTCACGTAGGCAGAAATCTTAGCCATTTCTGCTAAATTTGAAACTTTAAATGCCCAATCTTCTATAGTGGGCAAACGTTCCGTTTTCCAACATTGAGCTACTAATAATCTTGCAGCAGTTATCAAATTCAACATCAAATCCATTTCTTTTTTATCCAGAT